GGCCTTGTGTCTGTGGGGTTCTCTAAAGGAGGAGAGCTGGGGAGAGCCATGCCTTAAAAGACACACGGGAAGGGGGTAGGGGGAAGGTTGGAGGGGCAGGAGGAAGGAAGAGAGGGGGATCTGGAGTTGGTATCTAAAATGGATAAAAAAATTCCTTAACGAGAGAGAGAGAGAGAGAGAGAGAGAGAGAGAGAGAGACAGACAGACAGACAGACAGACAGACAGACAGACAGACAGAGTGACAGAGGAAGCCCGGCTTTGTCTCAGACCAGTCTGGCCCACGTGGGGATGGCGTCTGAGCTCCCCCAACCCTGCCTCTCCAGTAGACAAGAACTTCTATGCCTTACTAAAGGGCGCTCCCGGACTAGACAATGTGAGGCCCACCTATTATTCCAGCACTTGAAAGGCAGGGGCAGAGGATTGTGAGTTCCAGATCAGCCTGGGCTGTAGAGCATAATTCTTAAAAACACAAAGACAGACAAAACAACAATAGCTTCCAGCAGGGATTCGGGCCCCAGAGTGCTGGGCTCTGACCATGGTCTAGCCCATGCACCTCCTCCTTTGACAGTCCTTAAAACTCAGGGTCACTGGCAAAGAGGGGCACCCCAGAGCACATCCACTCTTGCTCATTGGAGGTGATAGGAAGAAGGCGATGGAGAGCCCAGCATTAGGTAGTAGCAGCCCAAGATGGAACCCAATGACTAGACCTGTAGCTCTACCACTGCCTCAAGCTGGCATCTTGGGCACATCAGAGCCTCTCTGGACCTTGGCCATCACGTCATAGAAAGAAAGCTTTGGTTAGTGGTCCTTCCGTCCCAGTGTATCCTCAGAGTGACAGCTTTATAAGGGAGTGGCCCTGGGAAGGAGCTTCCACAGGCCTGTCTCGGGCAGGTTCACAGGCTGTCACTGCAGTGGCCGCTGCACGTTTTCTGGGTCCAGCAGAAAAGCTCATGTGGAGCTCTTCTCATGGGCCATGTCGGGCTGAGAAGCCAGGGAGCTCAGCCTGCAGCAACAGCTAGCTAACTGACTGACCCACAGGAAACTCAGGGGAGGTCAGTGCAAGGCACAGGCAGGGGCTGTTAACTAACTCCCATGCCCCACCAGCTGAGAGAAATCAAAAAAATGCCTCATTCGCCTGGGGGTGCAGAATCCATCCCTGGGAGCTGAGGTAGAATGGGCACAGGACTAGAAATGGGGGTGCTTGGGGGTCTTTAGCCCCTGTTCTGCTATATGGGACTTAGGAAAAGCATACATATGCGTGTGTGTGTGTGTGTGTGTGTGTGTGTGTGTGTGTGCTCACATGCATGTGTGTGTGCTCATGTGTGTGGTGCATGCATGTGAGTGCACAGGTAGATGAGCATGTGGAAGTCAGAGCAGGCTGTCTAGTGTCCTCCTTATTATTGCCCTAAGACAAAGTCTCTCCTTTTAACTGGAAGTGTACTGATGCTGTTGGTCTGGCTAGTGAGCTCTAAAGATTAGAGTCTCAGTACCCCCAGCACCAGGGTGACAGCCACACACAGCCATGTCCAACTTTCTGCCTTCCTTCATGGTGTATGCTTCCTGCCCTCTTGGTCTCCTATCATACACCAGAACCTCTAGAAAGTCCAACAAGCTGTGAACAGGGCCCCCAGATCTTTTCAGGCATAGCCAGGAGCATCAGAGGTGACACAGTGTGTTTGGTGGCTAATTGTTATGACAAAGGGTGACCTTAGAGACCACGGGGGTGGGACAGAAGGCGTGAATGGCAGTGGTAGGAAACGGCCCGAGCTATCCAGGTGCTAACTTGGTCACAGACACCTGCCCATGCAGCTCCAACTGCCTCTGGTCCGTAGGAGGCTGTGCAAGGGGCAGGGCCTTGCAAGGACTTGGTCACAGATTATTTTTTTAGGGGGTTGTGCTCATTGGCAGAGGCTGGGATGGGGAGGCCTGAGTTCTGGTCCCCTGATTCTACCTTCGTACCTAGGGACCTTGGACAAGAAGTCTCCTCCCTTCCTGGGGCCCCATCTGTTGTCAGGGTGAAGTCAAGCCTCCATATGGGAGGATGACATCTCTGCATTGCTCTCCAAGGACGGAGTGGGAGGAAATGAGTTAGCGCTGTAGTAGATTAGACATCAGGAAACTTCCCGAAGGGTGGAGTGGCAGGCCATGAAATGCATAAAGAGGGAGGCTGTGGGTGCTGGCATTCTCGTGAACTCTGAAGGTGAGGATGCTTCCTAATGTCCTGTGGAGTCTGGGTCAAAGTTCAGTGGCTTCTGTCTTCTTGCCTTGGGGCTGCCCTTCCATTCTGACACCCTCCTGGGACTCCCAGTTCTCATTCAGATTTGGGGGTTCTAGGTCTCTCCTCCTGCACAGGTCTGAGAGGCCTACACTGCCCAGCTTCCACCCCCGGCTCTGGTAATACAGTACTGACTCTGTCAAAGCTGGAGTTTGATGCCCGCTGACTCAGGGGTACCTACCAGTTTTCCAGCATGACCTACTCTGGCTTCTACTGACTTCCCACCTTGCTGGCCCATCATCAGTTTCTTCTCTGTTCTCACTCTCTCTTACTCTAATTTCCTAAATCTTCCTCTCTTTTAATTTCCCTGAACACCTTGCCCCGGACCTTCTTAACCCCCTCCCCTCTAACCCAGTCCATTCATGATGAGGTGCTGGGGTCACAGGGTCAAGCCCAGTTGGAGACAGCTAGAGTCCTTGACTGGGGACTCAGAATATTGAGAGTTCCTTTACTTGAGGAGCTGGGGTCGTTCCCTGGAGTCCCAACTCCCCTGGATAGAGTGTGGTGGGTCGATCTGTGGCTATGGCTAGGCAGGTAGAGCGCAAACCCAGGATGCACACAGCCCTGGGTTTGATCTTCACCTTTGCCAAAGCTGGGTGTGATGGTACCTCAGAAGTTCGAGGTCATCTCTGGCTACACCAGGAGTTCAAGGCTAGCCTAAGCTACATGAGACAAGCACACAACCACACAAGCAATTGTGTAAACAAACAAAGCCAGAGGTGGGGGGCAGGGACGACCATTCTTACAGTTTGCTCACCAGGCCCCTTGTGAGAACCAGACTGGACAGTATGTGTGAAACTCTACAGATGGTGAGCCCTGGAGAGATAAGGGAGACTGATCTGGTCACTTGTGACATCATTGGTTATAAGTTGGCCTGGTTAGAACCCAAGCCCTCTTCCTGTCGTGACCTAGAAATTTGAAAATTGATCACCTTTTTATTATTCATTTTTTACGTGTGTGTGTGTGTGTGTGTGTGTGTGTGTGTGGTGTGGTGTGGTGTGGTGTGGTACACTGACACAGAGGCCAGAAGACAACTTCCAGCAATCATTTCTCTCCTACCATGTGGGTTACAGGAATCGAACTCTGGTTTTCAGGCTTGGCATCAAGCTCTATTACCCACTGATCTCTGTAAAGTGGAGCTAACAAAACCAACTACAAAGAGCAAGCAGAAGGTTGACATGAGACCAAGAAGGGTGCCTCGTGGGCTGTTATCTTTGTTACAGCTTGACCCTGGGTATAGTCCAGGCTTGTTCATATAGATTCCCAGTTGTAGGGGGAAGGATTAGCCCTGTTTATGTAAGTCAGACAAGCTCGTGCTGATCTGCCCAAGGAAACCTAGTAGGGAATGGGTGCAGCCCTATTCAAACAGATGGATTTCGAGCCAAGCATTCTCCAACGCCAAGCAGGCCCGCCGTCACAGATGGTGTCACCCCAGCCCTTGCCATGTACCAGTGCTTTGCATGGCTCATCTGTGACTACTGCGGTACGAAGCAGGGCGATCACCCACATCTTGCAGATAAGGAAGCTGGCGCAGAAAGGTGTGACGTCACTTGCTCATGTCACGAGGCTGAATTCAGGCATAGTCGCTGTAACTCTAATGGCTGCAGATCTGGGTCACAAGGCTTCAACCAGACAAGAGAGGTGGTGGGGATGGGGGGAGTAGGGGCGGGGAGGCAACCATAGTTTGCAACATAAAATACCACAAGGTCAAGACCCTACCAAGAAACTGGGCTCCGCCTCAGCCCCCATAAGGCCCCAGACACCAGTTCTTTCGTCATGCTCCAAATGCTCAGGGTGCCCTGTGTCTGTGTTCAGAAAACAACACCAACAGTTTTTCCCGCCTTAAGGGGGATGTAAGGAAACCTGGGGTGGAATCCTGACTCTGTGGTTTGGGTAATCCAACCCTAGACAATTAGCTTCTAGAATGACCAATTCTCAGGATGAGGTTAGAACCCCACAAGGACACAGGCATGGAAGTTTGTTGTAGATTCTAAAGTGTCCTTTATTGTAGCCAATCATAGGAATTTCCCCAGTATTGGGGAAGTGTGAGTTTGCAAGGATGGATGCCCGTGGAGGTACTGTAATACCAGGTCCCTGCCTGGAGCCAAAGTTCAGGCCACCACTGCTGGCAAGTTCACTCAGGGGCTCACATTGCTGAGACCTGTCCTTCTAAATGAATGACCATAGCCTGGCTTTTTTCCAACACTCTTTTCTCCCATCATTCACTCAGACCCCATGGCCATTGAGCCTTGGTCCTCTTGACCAACTGTTTTACAGATGAACAAAAGGCTTAAGTGACCCAGTGGCTGGTTTCAGTTCTTTTGCTATGCAAGGACAGGCCCAAGATTGTGACCGAGGGTTGCCTGACTGTCATCAAGTGCATTCTCAGCCAAGGGGCAGAGTAGTTAGTGGCCTAGTATGCGCAGGGCCAAGTTTGGGTAAGGAATGTAGCTCAGCGATGGAGCGTTTTCCTGCCCTGCGTTGGACTCTCAGCACCCATAAACACAAGAATGTCTTCTCTTGTTCTGCCTTCCTTGTTTCCATTCCCCTTGTCTGCTTATTTGAAAATCTGTTCTCTATACAGCAGTGGTTAGAGGGTGGCCTTGGTGTCAGAACAGCTGGGGCAGCAGAAGCAGGTGCCGGAATGTCCCTAAACATGCTCAGATGCATCCCTGTGCGGCCAGCCGGAATAAGGGCATTCATGTGTAACCACCCCTGCCCACCGATGGACCCCAGCAGCTCCATACAGGAGACTCGCTGGTCCCTGCCCTCTGTGGTCAAAATCTTCCTTGAACCCAACACACAAGCCCCAGTAAAGTGAAGATGTGACCAAACCAATTGCCTCTGGTTCCTGGAAGAGATGATTTTAAAAAGTATATTCGCTGTGTCCTACTCAGTAGTGACAATGGTCCCGACTTGTGCCAGATGTTCTCAAGAGAACTTTGAACTGTTCTGCTCAGGACTTGTGTTGAGTATATTCAAGCACAGGCCTTTCTCTGTCCCCAGAGTGTTCACCTCCCATTCTGTAGAGCCCACAGCTGGGATGGACTGGCTGGGAATAGACACAGGAATGCCCTTCACTCTATTTGCAGAATGCTTCTCCGGCAAGGACACCTCCTCCTCAGGCTTCTCCAGCAAGGACACTTCCTCCTCAAGCTTCTCCAGCAAGGACATCTTCAGCCCGGGCATCTCCAGCTGGGGCTTCTCTTCCCCAGGCTTCTCCAGCAAGGACACCTCCTCCTCAGGCTTCTCCGGCAAGGACATCTCCAGCCAGGGTATCACCTTCCAGGTCATCGTCGGGCAGGTCATCATCTGCCAGGTCAGCCTCCACGACATCCTCCCCAACGAGAGTGTACCTTGTTAGAGCAACACCAGTGGGGGCTGTCCCCATCCGGGCATCTCCTGCCAGGTCAGCACCAGCCACCAGGGCCACCAGGGAGAGCCCAGGTAAGGGGGCCATCGCAGGGAGGGCAGAGAACCAGGGCAGTGTCTTTGGGCAGAGGGATGCTCTCGGAAAGCACTCTGCTCCTCGTGACCCTGGGATAATGACATGGGGGACAGCCAGAGTGGAATGTGGGGTACCTGGAGAGGGGAGGGTAGAAAGGGACCACGACATGACAGCTTAAGATGGGACAATTAGGCAAAAGGAGGAGGGGACCCAAAGGAGCTAGGAAACCGTAACATTGGAGGCTGCTCCAATGTCAAGAACAGGGGCTCTTGGCTACAGGAGGGGCTGTTTCCTTGGGCTGATCTGCACACCGGCTGGGGAAGCCAGGGTCTGCAGTAGTGCAAGGTCATGGTCAATATGTCTGTCCACATGTGGAGGAAGAGTGATAGGGACTCTGACCCCCCAAGCTTCCAAACTTGTGGGGGCAGGGATGAGGTTCAGCATTTCAGTTGCTGGGACGTCAAAGAGGCCAGTGGGCCTCTAGGCTTGACTCTTCCCCCCAGGCAACTGTTTTCATTTACCCCAGACCTCAGCCTGTCCCCATTGCCTTACCCCCATATCCTCAGGCTTGGTTGCTATTTGACTGTGAAGAAATATTCAGGGTTTGGGGCCCATCCTAGCCTGTCCCTGTCCAGGGTAGGAGAGGCACTTTGGTGGGGTGGATTCTGGAATGAGACACTGCATTTGAATCTCTGTCCTGTCAGTCACTAGCTTAGTGACTTTGGGTAACTTATTTTATTTCCATGAGCCTCAGTTTCCCCGTCTACAGAAGGTACCTAATAAGACTCGGCTCATGGGATGCTGTGAGGATGAAATAGCCGGACACATGCAGAGTGCCTGGCCCAGAGGAGGGACTACATAGGAGGAGTGGAGATGGGTGGGTAGGGGTGGAGATGTATTGCAAGGTGCAAGGGTCCTAGCCAGATCCTCGGGGACCAGTTTTGCTTCTGTCTCTGTCTTCCCCCGTGCTGAACCCCTCGCCAGCAGTTTCCTTTCCCTGCCACCCTGTTCTTAGGTCTCAGCGTGCCCAAGTTCTCCTGGCAGGAGACGCAGAGACAGCTGCCACTCATCGGGTGTATCATCCTTCTCATCAGCCTGGTGATCTCACTCATCCTTCTCTGTGAGTCGAACAGAGGGGCCCGGGTGGGTCTGGGTCATCTCACAATGGAATGGGGTCAGTCATGGAGCCATACCACAGGGTCAGAGAGACTTACATCCACATAAGGACCTTGGATCACAGGGTATCAAGCTCCTTTGAGATGACTGGGGTAAGAGTGTGGGGTATCATGGGATTCTGGGTTTGGGTCCATCATTGCATCTGAACATTCTGGGTTTGGGTCCGTCATTGCATCTGAATTCTGAGGATTCATTGGAACAAGTGCACTAACTGTATTGGACTCTGTTTCACTATGATCGAATGGAATTGAGTTGATCATTAATCATTCAACTCAGCACATACTTCATAAGGTCGATCTTATTCCACTCTACCTAGACTAGGAGAACTATGTGAGAGAAATGTACAATTTTGACATAAAAATCTCACTATGAAAACATGTAGCTATTTATGAAAACCAACATGCCATAAAATAATGAAAAAGCCTCCAAAGGTCAATGGGACAAAGTGTACTGTCTGGGGATTCAGACCCTTCATCTTGTCCTTTGGAAAAAGATACCCAGAACATGCCCCAGGCTCTTTGATCAGCAATCCTTTGGAAGCCAGCCCCAAAGGGGAGTCTGGGAGGGAGCAAAGATGAGCACATGTCATCTTATTCTGTACCAGGAAAGTCACCCACTCTTGAGAAACAGAGCTAAAAGTATGTCAGGCTGAGTGATCTCAATGTGACTGTCAGAACAAGCCAGAGTTGGTGCTAGTTAGGGCACGTGCAAGTCCAGATGAGGACCTGGAAAATATGGGAGCCGTTATGTCTCTCTTGAACATCAGGGGTGTGTGTGTGTGGTGTGGTGTGGTAGGGGAACAGGTGAACAAGGCCTACATTGGGTAGAGGGAAGGAATCCATCTACCCAGTGGGGAGACACACATTTGAGAGCCTGGAGCCTGTCTGTTTAGTTACTTGAGGCCACAAAGCTTCAAATGTAGGCTGAGAAGGATTCTATGGAAGAGGCAGCATGAGATGGTGAATGGAGGGATGGATAGGTGCATGGAAACTTGCGGCGGCATGGCTGTTGGGGAGGAGGGTAGTGTGCTGTTATAGCATTGGTACCACACATCCCTGCTCCAGCATCCTGCTCCTGCCTCTGCCTCTTAGGATGTCAGCAAGTTAGTTATCACATCCAGTCTCCATTTCCCCACCTGCTGACTGGATGGTGTGGTCATTATCACAGTGTAGGAGCTGAGACCTGAGATCCCCGTCCTCTCCATCTCCCTTGGCCAGCAGAGTACTTTGCTTCTGAGAACAACAGGAATGACCCATGGAGGGCCATGGGACACTCAAGGGTGGGCTCACCGAGCAGCCTTAAAGCTCTAACCTGGTTCTACAGTATTTCCCGAAGTCCCCACAGCTCCTTCATGGAGGCCAGAGAGGTCGTATGATCTGTAGGTCAAGCCCGGCCTCCTGGTTCCTCTCCCATCATCACTCCATCCAAAACACCTCAGAGTGGTCCTAGGATGTGCAGCTTCCCAGGCACCGTGAGAGGGACATCCAGGACGTCCTGGAGCTTCAGCATCTAGGGTGTGGGGGGAGGAGGAGGGAAGGACACTGAGAGGAGAGCATGCAGTGCTGAGGGATTAGGAGGATGTGTGTCTGGACTGGGAAGGGACTGTCTCAGCAGGTGGCCTTCTCCTGAGTGACAGAGACCTTGGTGGAACTGGGGAGACAATGTGAGGTTAGAGCTGAGGAGATGACAGAGGCTGGGAGGTTGGGTGAGGCATTAGATGACAGGTGTGTGGGGGCTGCACCGGGAGGTGTCTCACGTTAGAGTGACAGTTCACGGTTAGAGGCAGAGGAAGACCTGGAGCTGGTTCCTCCATAAGGTGTGAGAAGTTTCCTTGCACATTTGGAAATCAGCCAAACATTGCTTGCTGAACGAGAAGACAGAGAAAGGCACAGAGAGAGGCAGGGAGGAGAGGACCAAGTACAAGAGATAACTATGATTAGGGGGGAGGGAGGAGGATGCAAATTCAGGAGCTGCCAAGGCTGGCATCGTGGTATCCGTTGAGAAGACAGGCTAGGTGGTGGCATGTTTTCTCTCTCTCTCTCTCTCTCTCTCTCTCTCTCTCTCTCTCTCTCTCTCTCTCTCTCTCTCTTTCTCTCCTCTCCCCTTTCCTCTTTCCCTCCCCCCACCTCTCTGTTTATGTGTGTGTGTGTGTGTGTGTGTAGCATAGAGAAGAAGGGATGCCAGAGGGGTTCTGAGAGGGAACTCTGGGATACTGGAGAAGGTTTCTCTGGCTACTCTCCTCTCTAGCATATAAGCTAAGGAAGCTTCCAAAGTAGGATCCATGTCCACCTCTCATTACTTCTCTTGGTCTCTTCCTTTCCTTCTCTGGGTAGCTGGCGGTTCAAATCTGTCTGGGGCTGCTCTAATTGCAGGAGCTTTCTAGTACATTCCTGAGCAGCCCTTTCTTTCCATACAGATGGGGGACCAGAGCCCCAGAGTCCAAGAGGGATTGCAGGTCGGTGTCTGAGAATCCCCAGGGCCTTGGGCTGCTGAGTGTCCTGTCCCTCGGGTTCTGTTAATAACCAGCTGCCTGCTTGTTGTCTGTTTTGTTTTTCCAGTCTACTTCTGGCGAGGCCACACGGGGATCAAATACAAAGAACCGACGGAGAGCTGCCCCAAACACGCAGTTCGCTGTGATGGAGTGGTGGACTGCAAAATGAAAAGTGATGAGCTGGGCTGTGGTGAGAAGGCTGAGCATGGGGAATAGTGTGTGTGTGTGTGTGTGTGTGTG